GCAAAGGAGGTGGCTCGTGGTCACAATGGGTACGGTAGGCTTGGTTTGGTTTTAATTTGGGTTTTTAAGTTGAGGGTCGTGGTTTTGGGAAGGAGATAAACTTTTCATTTTGCCTTTCTTTTTTTTCTTTTAATAGAAAAATATGGTTAAAGTCATTTTTTTTGCTCAATTAATAATGATTCGGAAGAAATCTGTTAAGATTTGAGATTCCATCTTAAAAGGTTAATCTTATTAAGAAAAATAACTCAAACTCTTATAAATTGATATATGTTTTCATCTTTATTCGATGTGAGATTTTATTCCTTAATATGCCCCGTCAAGATTGTGGCTCGTTCGAGCAAAGCAATCTTGAAATCCGTGTGATCAATTTTTTTGAGTTTTAATCGGATCGAATTGCTCGTTGGAACTTAATGAACTCTTATACCATGTTAAGATTTGATATTCCATCTTAAAATGTCAACATTATTAAAAGGAGTAACCCAAACTCTTATAAATTGATTTATGTTTTCTTTATTAGATGTGGGATTTTATCGCTTAACAAAATCCATCTATTTGTCTTCCGGACGCACACACTTGAGATGTTTGAAAATAAAAATTAAGGTAAAACTTACAAATATTTGTAAGATGTGAGATATTATCCCTTTTTTCGCACGTGTAAATTTTACATCATAAGTTGTGTCCATTAAAATTTCGGCACTTCAAATTTTTTTGTAGTGATGTGTCAAAATTTTCGGTGTGAAATAATTAAGACTAGACAAAAAATGTGAACTCTAATTGAGCATAGGTGCCACACGACATTATTCTCGATTTCTTTGTTGACCTTTTTAAAAGTTATTTTTGTTTAACTTTTTTGAAAGAATAATTTAAAAATGACGTCACGTACCTTCGAAAACCAAGCTGAGTTTGTGACTATTTGAGACATTACCAATCACGTGCTTGATAAAATAAATTAAGCACTTTATAATGATTAATAAAAAAAATTGAAGAGTCGATCACTATATACACAGTCTTTTTTGATATTGATTAAAATTTTAATTTTAATTTTAATTTAAGTGAAAGTTACCAATTCATTTTGACAATATATTTTATGAATTCCATAAATTTTCAATTCCACAATTTTATTATCTTTTATCAAAAGTTACACAAAATCTGATTTTGATATATATCACATATTTTTTTTCAAATGTATATTTCAAGATTAATAGGAAAAAAAAAAATAAAAAAAATTTCATCCGTAAGAGTATTAGCGACAAAAATTTCTCGGACCGGAATCTGAGCTGTACACTCAAAAGCAAGCAAGCAACCATTGATGAATTGAACCAACCAACGAACAACCTACGATCTATATGTATGTAGAGCACAAGATCTGAAGATCCTCTTTCCAGGTTTTCAGCCTAGTCAAAATCTTCTCCACCTGTAATTTCCACCCATTTTCTCGGACTCTCTCTAACTTCAATTTTACCAGTTCTTTGATCCATTTTCGAATCGGCAC